AGGCTTCATACCACATCTGGCTTTCGCGGAAGCACACACACATGCTGCTCCTCCTCTCTCTCTGCGGGAAAAGCTGGAGTGGAGTCCAGGACAGGAAACCAAGTGGGGCAAACAGTGGAGAGAACCTCCCTTCTCCGCCCAGTCCCCTAAGAGCAGCATGACCCAGGGCAGGAGGGTTAAATCTTGGCAAACTGCTTCAGAAAGGTGGCTGACCATCTGGCTTTCGCGGAAGCACACACACATGCTGCTCCTCCTCTCTCTCTGCGGGAAAAGCTGGAGTGGAGTCCAGGACAGGAAACCAAGTGGGGCAAACAGTGGAGAGAACCTCCCTTCTCCGCCCAGTCCCCTAAGAGCAGCATGACCCAGGGCAGGAGGGTTAAATCTTGGCAAACTGCTTCAGAAAGGTGGCTGACTCCTGCTATAGAGGATTGGCAAAGCTACATAATATGAAGCTGTTTGCAAATTCAGGAAGGTAACTGCATCTATTTACAAGCAGAATGTTTCTTATGGCAGCAAAGGGGTTAGAAAATTAATTTGTGTTTTATCTTTCTGAGTTGATGCTATGTCACCTAACTCACTACAGCATGATTTCATTCACCAAATGAGCCTTGATAAAGAAGAAGAATGAGAAAAAATTAGGGCATAATTTAGGCACTATACCAGGAAAAAATTCTTGACAGCAAAAACTATAACAGTTTAGAATAGTTATTCCCTTTACCTAAACTTAGAACAGAAAAGCATTCAAAAAATGTATAGGAGACGATTCCTGAAGTAATAGGAACAAATTTAACAAATCCCATAGTCTCCAATTTATATTTCTTCAGATTAGCATTTTAATTTTACTTATTTACTTTTTCATAATAAAATACACTTATGGACAAAACTGTGTACCCTCTACTTTTGCAGTACAGGAATAATATTAAAATAAATTAATACCATGCTTAAAGCCATGTATGAGTTCATGGTGTTTTTTATTTCACTAGACACAAACTTTGCCTCAAATACCATAATTTACAAGCTAAATAAGAAATACAAATTGCACAAGCTGTATAATGAAGTGTTCAAATTGAACATACTATATATGTTAGTAAAGCATTAATTCTTCTAGATTGTGTAAAGACAAAAATATAAATGCTAAGTACTAAATAAACACTGAAATAATCAACCATAAGACACCTCAGACCTAAATGAACAATGCAAAAATATCTTAAAGACCTAAATATGGGGTGCCTTCCTTAAAGTGGTCTCAACTATCACAAGAAAAATACTTCAATGACACACATTCCAAAACATTTCCTCACACTCCTGCTTTTTTTTTTTTTTTTTTTTTGCTATAACCACAACACTTGCTGCAAGGACTAGAACTGAAACCAGGGCAGCATTTCTTGTCCTTTTGAATACTGTAATATGGTTCCATTCCCTCCAATATGTAAGAATCCAGCTTATATACAAAAGAAACCAATATTTAGAAAAAGATACTGTATCTGGGAAACAGCAAAAGACCTTATGCTAAAAAAAGGCTCTCTGAAATATCTGGCACTAATTCAGTTTTACCAATGCAGTCCTTTTCCCTGGCCTTGGCCATAAAGGAATAATAATTAAACAATACTATTAAGTACTACCACACACCTGGAGACGACAATGTGACAGTAAGACTTACTATGAAATTTTAGTTCCTTTTTGGTTCATCTTCAAATCGCCCTGATTTAGATGAAGATTCCTCAGAAGAAGTGGGCTGTGCCCACGAAAGCTCGTGATACCATCTCCATTTTTTGTTACTTTCCAAGATGCTGCAGAACTACTAGCTGTTTTTTTTCCCCAGTCACAGACTAACACAACTACTCCCTCTGAAACTTTTGAGCACTGATTTATTTTACCTTTCATAGCGATTTGAGTTTTTCTACTCAACAGCCCACTTCGCTGCTGTAGCCACAACTTTCCGGACACCTCCCTTGCCTCCGAAAACTGAATTTCGTAACCACTCTCCCAGCTGCAACGTGCAAAATTCAACTCCAAGGGTGAAGCAGAGGCAGGAGGAAGACACAGGGAGGAGGCGGCTTCCTTTCCCCCGCCGTTTTTCGATCGCACCCCCCCCCCCCCGCTCCC